GAAAATCTGTGTCTTGTGTCTTCTATATTCGCCACCATACTTGTTGCATTGTTGGACTCAATTATGTTTTCTATGTTACCGAGAGTTGAATGAACAGATTCCTTTTCAATTTTTATTTTCTCAATTTGCAGTTCACTTCTCTTCTGGTACAAACTGTATTCTGTTTCCAATTCTCTCATTAATTGAGTCTCTCTTTCTTTCACGTTCCTGACAATTTCCGAAGCTCTTTCTGACAGTTTCTTTTTTTCCATTTCGAACTTAAGTGTTAGACTATTCTGTGTTGCCATAGCAACGGATTCTGTCCTTTTGTCCGACTCTTCTTTCTCTTTTAGTTGTTCAGTCATTTGCATTAGCTCCTGCCGATATTCCTCTGCGACATCGCTCAGATACCTGTTTGTATGCTCGGGAGGTCGGTGATTTATAACGGAACACTCAGCACACAGTGCCACCTTGCATGTGTCGCAGAACAACTTCAATTCATGTGTGGGGTGATCTTGACATTTATCAGCCATAATTATCAATATATATCGCTTCAAAAAGACGCAATATAATGGGTGCCTGGTGAAAGAGAGTGTCATGTAAAAAAAACGGACATAAAAGGATGACCTGAAGTGTGCCACAACAGGGAAGTAATGAGTTTGTTCGTAATCTTTAAACCATGTAATACTGGACTAAACATACCAAACACACAATATCAAAAAAATATGCATGCTGCGCATGTGCAAACAACACCTAAACAGCTGGAAAATGAATAAATATGTAATATTGAATCAATATGACATTTGTGTTCCAAAATGAGCCAACATAAAATATATCATGTCAGATAGCATATATTTATGGTAATGGTATGCAAATAATGAAATTTTTTTTTTCTTCAAATTTTTTTCTAGCTTTTGCATTGTATCTATTCGATTGACATCATCAACGCAATTGTGGTTGAGCGTTACGGAGATTGATAAAATCAGATAAAACAACGTAGGTCTGGGATTTATTGAAAAATGGACATAGAATAAGTAATTCCATGAATATACACCGACTATATCGTTTATTAGCTGTTGTTGCGTCCATGCTTGGGTGGAGTCGCCCAGCGAAAGAGATTAAAATAAAATGACTATAATCTACGTATTTTGGTTGTGATGTGCCCACTCAATGACGTCACCGTAGTTATACGTTCACGCGATCTTGCTATTATTCTGATCAGGAGTGTACTCTTACTAACGTTAAATGTGACATCATCGATTGTAATGATTATGTAATTGTGTGATAGTAGATTATTTAATAATGGTATTTATCTATAGAAACGTATCATATTTCAATAGATATTTATTGTATCTATAATGTATTAGAGATTACCATACTGATTTGCATATTTCATACACCGTGCTATATTAAGATATGGTTTTATTGATCGTTATGCGACTTGAAGTTTCTGTGCCTGCCATTTCAGTGCACTAAATTATAGTTATCAAAAATAAATAAATTCTAACCACAGTGTGAAACAACATGCGATGTAAATATTTATATTTGGCAAATAAATATGTCGATCAATTCAGGACAATGTCATATGACATGGGCTGGTGCGATAGTAATATTAATTCGTTTAAATATCGAAAATATCATCCGCCATATTGGCTTCACCAACAAGCACACTAATCTTAGATACAAATTAACCTATAAACAGTACATTGTATATATCATAAGACGTAAAGTAGGGGTAATATATCCTGTGTTTTGATATGAGTGTGCCATATGTTTAACCGCAGTTTGATATTACGTGAAGTCATATGGATATTTAACGGCGTGTATGACTGTTAATTTAGTTATGAAGCGTCATGAGTTAAGACCACTTGTTGACCATATTGTTAACTCACCTGTTAATGCAATTACTTCACGGTGAAGGATTTCGGTGTACGTCGATACCAGCACTGCCAACTGAATGAACGGCTTATAGATGGCGATGGTAAGATAAACTATATAGCGCCCAACAGTGTTAAAATTTGACTGCGTGTATCGACATGAGGGAGGGGTTACGGGCAATGACTAGCTTTGGAAATGTGAGTTTTGTTTTACGAATAATGATATCAAAGTTATTTCAGCAAATATGATGATTAGAATTCTTGTTGCATCACATTTATCCCATCCTCCTAGTTTTAAATAAATAAATGCAAAATAACAGCCTTGTGTACTTGTTACATGTTAGTAATTATTATGTCAATGACACTTAAAATATACGGTAATAGTATATCTTTTCAAGTTCATGATCTGTAAAACGACCCTCTACCATTATGTACTGATCCACGGAACGGAAATCAAGTGAAAACTCAAATCGCATGTCAACCAGTGTGAATCATTTGGTCCCAAAAAAATTGCGTCTGGTACAATTTACCATGATTAAATCCATTAGTATAAATAATGGTTTTCGCTACCAATAATATATTGTGGTTTCCGCCACAAGTTTGGCGTAACATGCGACAACTGGTCATGAATATAAGGCCAAAAAAACAACAACTTATGTTGCCCTCAAGTCGGAAAATTGGGTCGGTCGGTCGGATTTTTTTTAAAACTCGTGAAAACTAAGGGCATTGTAAATGGCCAAGGTATATGGGGGAAAAACGCGACCCGATATTTCATATTTTTGGTCGGTCGCTGAGGGCAACAAAACAAATTTTGTTTGGCCTAATGTAGCACTGTGTTGCCGATGGCGAAGAATCGCCGATTCAATTTTGGGCGGCCATTTCACAGTTCTTACTTGCCAGGATTGTATTTGGTATATGGTCTAGTACTGAACAAAAACTACAGTAAGTCGAACTATTTATGTCGACAATCACTTGACCTAAATACAATTCATATTTGACCCAGGCACCAAAGTCGATTTCATGCGCCCGTTCCTTCAACGTACAGCACGGAACACGGCACGGATCCTCCGCCTCGACCATTGTTCGGTCTAGGCAACTAAACATATTGAAATCATTCCTAAAGTCTAATCAGTTCACGGTTCTTACCTCAGAGACATACAGTTGCTATGTTTTCAAACGTGTGAGGGTTGAAAATCTATGTTCACATTAAACTGATTGAAATAGCTTGCATCATATTACCCTGCATTTCACGGTGGCCGCATATGTCGTAGATTTGTCCCTTTAGCTTAGTGTAAATGATGGAAAACGAATTAATAACATGAATTGATCTAATCAGTTGGATTGTTAGCCCTCATGTAACAGATAGTAACATGTCAGCTCAATCTTTGGCTGGGAAGAAAACTTCCACTGTACAATTTGTACGTGGTGCAGCTATAACAAGCAAATTGACTGAACAATGCTTTGAATTAATTGTCTCCAATATTGCCAGAGAGGGCACACTTAATATGGGTGATCTAACCAGACACGCACGGCGCGCTTACTAGTATATATATACTAGATGGTTTTTAGATGTTTAACATCAACAACCACACCTATGTAATTTATTATTTATGGGATATTAAGTTGTTATTCTTTCCATAGTCGTACAGTAGAGCGTTGATGGATGTGTATGTTTAGCTTGCGGGCATTGCCGAAACAAAGAACACCGATGCTATCCCTGTTACATTTAGTTAAGAACCGTGACGTCATCAGTTGTATGTGGTTATTCGGCAGCAATTTATTGTCAAAATAGTTCCTTTGTATCTTCGGAATACGTGTATTTTAGTTCTGGACAGAGCCATTCTTGTGTAATGAGTTACTAATAGGAAAATGGGTCGAAATTACAGTTGGCTAACACTGGTTTTCTAGCAAAACCCCTATTTAGATACCTGAAATAACATTGCCAAAAGAATGTGCAAATAATGGTCGGAATCAGCAGAAGAAACCACTTGTTCAGTTTGGTTTAGTGTGACCAAATGAAGAACTGGCCATGTATAATCTTGCTACATGTGCATTATTTCATAAGTATCCTACGGGTGTAAGGTGGGTTGGGTGCGGGTGCGGGTGTGCTTGCTTTATGATAAGTTATGTCGCTGTAACGATGAATTTGTTCTTTCTATTGTCGTCAACTAGGTCACTCAGGATCTTTAGAATTAATTCTCGGATCGGAGTATAAGCTCATTCACTCACTCACAATTAAAAAAAACATGATAGTTTAGTCTAATATTCGTTGTAGCTATCGTCATGGTAACTAAATTATGATGTTTTTGCTTGCAACTATAAGAATGTGTTTCTGCAATTTAAGCTACAAGGTAAAGACAGACACGAGTGAAGCAAATAAATTGTTTAAGGTAGAGATGCAGTTTATTTGGCTTGCTTTTTAATTGAGTAATTAGACAATGAAGATGGTATTATATATCCAACATGTTATATATTTTCTGAAAGCTTATTATACAAACTTTGTAAAACTTGTCTTTATTTTAAATATCCAGAATGCGTTTTTCATTTTGGGTCAAAAATATGCTTTTTTGGACAAAAGTGGTTTAAAAAAAATTAGCTTAAAAAGTTCAAGTCCGTTTGTGGGTAAAATTACATCACTGGATACCTTGGTATACTACTAATTCAAATGCGTCCACTCATCTCTCTAACGGCTTTCAAAGTCGCACAGCATGACCTCAAAGTTCACTCTTTTCTATTTTTGCATAATTTATATATCCATGTTAATTGCGGACTTGTTAATTTTGTTCCACTT